GATTCGTAACCACTATGCTACCAGAGCTCCTTAAGTTGTGTGCAAATATTTTCTTCTAGGCTTTGGCTAGATCTATTACTGAAGTCTATTCTATTCCACTGATTTATTTTTCTGTCTTTCCACTAATACTAAGCTGTCTTGATTACTGTAGTTGTGGAAAAAAAAAATTGAAATCATGAGAGAAAAGTTTTCTTACCTTTTTCTGCTTTGTAAGCATGGCTGTTGTTATACTGAGGGTAAGTGAAAAACAAAACAAAACAAAAAAAAAACTACTACAAAATCATAGAAAGTTTTTAAATTATCAAAATGTGAAGCTATTCCTTCTCAACATGTGTGGGCAATAAAAAGAAGTCTGAAGGGACAAGATGAGGATTGTCGGATGGATGGGGTAATGTTTCCCAATGCAATTCCTTTAGGAAAACCCTTGCTGCATTCAAAAGAATGGCCTTTTTACACACTAATGCAGTTTCCTATGTTCTTAAAACTTTATAATAAGCCCCATGATCATTCCATATCCTTTGTGAAAATCTATCAAATTTCCTCCTTGCATTACCCTCCACAGAACTCACCGTAGTTGTCTGACTTGACTTGTATGCTCTGGATTACCTGGTCCAGCAGATCCTCTTGTAAGAAATTTTTTTGATTGAACCTTTTTTTTTTTTTTTTAAGGCACCCTGATGAATTAAGACAATATATTAATGAGAAAACTTGTCTGCAGGCATCTAATCTAAGAGATGTGTTTAAGTGTATTTTGTTTGCAATAAACCCATGCATGTATGAACTGGAATGCAATTTATTTATTTATGTATTTTACTTACTATGGTATTAAATCATTTGCAATTCCATGTAAATTTTGTAGTAATTTCCTCAGTTGTCACACACACAAAAAAATGGTATTGCATTTAAGTTGCAGATCATTGTAAAATTTTTTTGGTTTTCTATTTCCTGAAAATAATTCTGCATTTATCTCAGTGTTCTTTGAGTTCTTTCATGATTATTTCTATTTGTAGGTGCAGACATATTGAACATCTTTTATTCATTTTGTTTTGAGGTATTGTGTTTTTTTAGGTACAACTGTAAATAAAAATTGCTTTAAATTTCACTTTCAGTATTTTGTTCCTTAGAAGGAG